CCTTTTTTTTTAATGACATGTGGGCACTTTTCGGCACCACCTTCAGATGCAAATAAAAGTAGTTTAAACTGAATAAAAAATTTAGAAAATAGTGATTACCAACGTACCCGACATGCATACGATTACGAAAACAAATGATTTGAGAATATCTGAGAGGGGAAAAAAATTAAAAGGTAGTAAAATTAAAAAATAAGGAAAAACAAATGCAGATATCAGAAGATAAACTGTTCAATACGTATATCTGTGAGCATACATGCAGAAAGAGGGAGGAAAACAATCCAAAAACCCTAAGGACAAAATTCTTGAAAAAAACATGCTTATAATTTTTTTCCCAGTTTTATCTCTTCGAAAACGAACCACCAGTAAAAATAAATGAGAAAAGAACTAACCGTGAATAATGAGACAATGACATGGTTAATATAATGATTTTCCATGGGAGAATCCGAAAATTAAAAAAAATGGTTAAACCCACTTCTGGAATAAATTCATTAGCAAAATAGATCTGTAAATCTTAAGAAAAACAAGCACTAAACAAGAAACACGAAAAAAATCTGTAAAAGAGAGATCAATCCCAGTAAACAAGTTAAAACCCACTTCTGGAATAAATTCTTTAGCAAAATAGATCTGTAAATCTTTAGAAAAACAAACACAAAACAAGGAAAAGAAAAAAAGCAACAACAATTCATCATTCACAGAGATTAAAACTTATAAACACCTCATAAGCTATGGGAAAATGCTTAGCATTGACTGGAAAATGTATGGCAACAACGGGAAAATGCTTTCCTCTTTCCCACTACGTTTCGAAAATAAAATTCAAAACTCATATCCCACAAAACAAAAAGGAAAAAATAAAAGAAATAATAAAATAAACGTGTATAAACAGTGTCGAGAAACTTGGTTCACAAAAAAAAAAAAAAAAAAAAAAATAAAAAAAAAAAAAAAAAAGGTAAAAAAAAGGGGGGAAAAAATTGTTAAAAAAAAAAAAAAAAAAAAAAAAAAAAAACTGAAGATAAAACTTATAAACACCTCATAAGCTAGCCGAACATGGTAGCAAAGGAGAAATGGAGAGGAAAGAGGTGTTCTGGTGCCTCCCTGAACACAAGGAGTGAGAAATAATCTTTGCCCAGAGAGACAATGGAAAAAGGCTTAAAAGGATTTCAAAATTCAAAATTAAATGGAAAGGGCTGCAGGAGACACTTGTTTGGTGTCTGCAGTCTGCCAAATTACCAATACCAATTGTGGGATTCATGTGTGCAGACCATTTGCCAAGTGTTATTTTTCCTTGTCACCCAAGCCATTGACTTTTATATTTTTATTTCTTTTCACCAATTTTTGCCCTGCTCTTCAGTGTTCAATTCGAAACTTTTGTCCTTTTGTCTTTGATTTATGTTGCAAGGTTGGTTAGGCGTGTCACATTCACGAAAGTAGAATTAAAATTAACCCAAAGGATAAACAAATTCACAATATCCTGAAATTATATCGAAATATAAATTCAATAATTCGACTTTGATATTTTGCAAAATCATTCAAACTCAATTTTAAAGTACCATAAATCACTACGTCTAATTCTTTTTAAATAATACAAAAATTTATAACTTGAACTATTGTTTCAAGAGAATTCTTTCATAATTTTTCTTTACGGCTTTCACTTTCAAACCAATTCAATGCCTATTTGCCCTTTACACTATGTCATTCCGATGGTTTTCACCAATCAAAATTCGCTTTAAATTTATATTTTTCATTTTAACTCAAATATATAAAGACAAATAAGCTTTCACTATTGAAAAAGTATAGTCTTAAATTTATATCAATTTCGCAACAATAGATAATTTCCGTTCACTTAACTATCTTTTCATCTCAATTAAATACATTTTACTTAAATTATTTATTGTACTCATAAAACAATCTAGAATAATATTATTTGTGGCGACAATCTGAGATGAGTATATTTGACTATGGACATCTGTCAAAACTTACGAGTGTGGAAGGATACATCTAGTTGCGGAATTCACGTATGTACGTCCTTTTGGGACTGTGGTCGAGGTTAGTGAGTTCTGTACCGTATCTGAAGGGTGATGCACCAAGCTTGCTCAACGAATTCGTGCCAAAAATACTAAAGTTTTTATCTCGTCAAGATTGGATTCTGTGCAGGCATATTTCCATTTCTTAAAAAACAAAAAGGTTGAACCCCAATCTTGAGGGTCCTCAACGCTTCGCTCCTAGAGTTTTGTGAATGAGGTAAATTGCGGGATGTGCCCCAACAGGTCAGAGAACAAGAGCTGTATGTACACTGCGCTTACAAGGAGTCCAAATTTTATGTTTCAGAAATCGAACCTCCACACTGCGGCTGCCAATAAGGCGTGAGATAACATTCTTTTCTTATCTTTTTTCTCCTAATCAACCGTCCATTTCCTTTTCACCTGATCAACGGTCCCAAACTTTCTGACAAATCTTTGGTCATCTTTTCGTTTTCATGCTTTCAAAATGGGAAAGAAGTCAACTCCAGACCGGTGATAATGATCAACTTTCTGTCGTTGAAGCCAACCTTGCTTCGATTTGGTGCATAATTTGGATTTTTATCCTACTCATCATATATTAATGAAATCACATTAATTTGTATAATTTAAAAACTCATTTTGAAATGTTTATGACTTTTTATCTAATATATTTATTTTAATTTATTATTTTATGCATGAAATGACAAATTTGATATGTTCAAAAATATTATGTTCTTATGTACTAAAATAGGTTAATTTCAGAAATTATCACTAAATTTTGTGGATTGAAGTAATTTTCTAACATTTGTAATCACTCGAGTTTCTAATAATTATATTAATGGGAACTTCCATGGAACGTTAACCTAAATCTTCCGAGTCACCGTTAAATTCCAATGTAAATATAAGCGGCATTGATTGGTATGTCAAGTCAGACAGAGCCATATAGATTGCATCTAAATGAACATGAGTTGTCAACCACGTTTTCTTCATATTTCTTCGAATTCAATAAGCAGTTGGTGAAATTTCACATTTTTATCGATTAATTTTTTACGGTGATTTTTTTTTTTCTCACGTATCATACCGGTTAACATCATTTGTGTCCACATTAAAATTTAATGGTTACACAGAGAATTCTAGGTTAATGTTTCTACCATCAATGTAATCGTTAGAAAGATGAGTGACTAATACTTAATAAAATTAATTCAACGACCATTTTGAAATTGTTAACAAACTCCGTGACCTTTGAAGCCATACTAAAATAATTACACCGCGCAAGTTTAATTAAATTGCTAATTTCAATAGACATGGTGTGTTTGATTTGACGATAACCTTCATAGTGGACATCAATTTTTTTCTTGAATGTCTAACGTCTAAGGCATCATTTTTTTTTCTTGTGCCTTAGTGATTGTCACTGTGAAACAAAGATGATATAAAATTGTTTACTTAAGAATTTAAATTGATATCCATCATTTTCCATTGAAAGCATTAAGAATATAAATATGATATTTCTTCTAAATCTGGCTAGTTTGCATCAATGTTTATTTGTGGGAGGAAAAACTATAACACTGTCCACATTTTATTGAGTATTCTACTATAGAAATTATGTCATAGTTTTCAACTATGCAAACATGCAGGCTTAGTCAAACACATTTCCAAAATATCAATTTTCATGTTATTGCAATACCTCTTCCAATGTAGAACAGTAAGCCTGGAATGCTGCAATTACTCTACCTTGCCGTTTGCTACATCACTATTTGACTTTTGATTTTTCTAACTAAAAACTTCTTTTCCAAAAAATAAGTGGTGATTAAGTAGATAATATGCTTTCATAGCCTACAAAATGTGTGGTTAAAATTAAAGTTCGACTTTGAAAATTGAAAACAAAGAGGGATTAATAATTTAATAGAGCTAACACGTTGCAGATTATTGATATGCCATCAAAGGGGGAAATTTTCTAATGACCAATGCAATTTCCACGTTATGTTGAAATTTAAAATTGACCTTTTTTTTTTTTTTTTTAATTCAATGTTATTTCACAACCGGCACTGAATTTAAAACAATTTTTTCAAGTAGTAAAATAGTTTCAATTTTGCTTTAAAATTCATAAGCATATTCTGGATTGACAAAGACTTCTCTAGTAATGCTATCTTCAAATTATTATAATGTCTGGAAGTATATAAGTCTTACACCAAAATTTGCATCATTTTGCACCAAATTTTGCACCAAACTAAAAATCATTTCCAACCCATTACACCAAAAGTTGCATCAAATGAGCAATGTTTAATTTTTCTTCATTTTTTTCATTCCTAAAGATTTATTTATCTAAAAGTCTATTTATTTAGCCCACGTTAGAGCCACATTCTAGGAAGAAAAACACATTATTCATGTCAAATCAATGGGAAATGTATGGTTAAAAAATAAGTAAAAATTTTAGATTTACGTGTAATATTATTTTATTGAAAAATGTGTGATTGAAATGATGTCAAATCACTATTGAAGAATGTATTTTTTAAAAATAATGTGGCTCAAACAAGCTCTAATGAAAATATTGAAGTTAATGAAAATAATTACAATTTGTTAATGAAAATATTGAAGTTATTAACAAATTTAAAAAATGTATACAAATAATAATAATAGTAGTAGTAAAAATAAAATAATAGTTATGAATTAAAATTTGTTTTACAACAATAAAAAGACGCAATTACCCTTAACTAAAATTTGGTTCAACATGGAAAACGGGGGAAAAAGGATATTAACCATTTTGGTGCAAAAATGGTGCGAGTGAATAGTATTGTACCAAATTAGTTTAAATTTTTGGTGCAAAATGGGGGGAAAATGGTAAAGTGGTATAAGGGTTGGAGTCTTCGAGATGCCCTTAGACATATTGGGACTAGAAAGATAGTTTACTAAATATTTAGTGGTACAGCGTAGAATATAATATGCATGCATTCCATCAAAGCTTTCCAGCATAGTTAAAAAAGTGCAAAACCAGTGCAAATTCTGAGCAAGAGATCAATAATACCAAAGAGTACTCAGTAACATACAAAAAAGAGAGAGAGAGAGAGAGAGAGAGAAGGCAATGTTGTTCTTTATTCCTAATTCTCTCTCGAAACCAAGTGCCCGTTGTTCCTTAACAGAAGAACATAGAACTGCTCACATCTCTATGTAGTTTGGGTAACTCGGGCACTGCCAACAAACCTCCTTCATGTCCTGATGACTGCTCAGACAGTTCCTCGAACTTCATGAACTGAGACATCTGGCTTGCCGCTAAGTGGGCATAACATATTGGAGCAACTGCAGCAGGAAAATGAAGTTTACCAAAAGAAATGGATAAACGAAAGCTCATGCAGAGGGCTATGAACACAACGAGAGAAAGTAGTATAAAAAGAAACAAAGAAGAAGCAAAGATGTTAGCAAGTTCATTACCTATAGAGATGGCTGTAGTGCTCCTTTGGTAACTGAAAATTCAAGTTCTCTATTTGTTAGTAAGTGGCATGATGAAGTTCAAGAGAAAGTATTATAAGTAACAAGATGGCAGTTAAAATTTACTCACACATATGACAGAGAATGAACTAGTTCCTGTAAATCATCCGCAGAGAAGCCAATCTCATCGTATAACACGTGATAGTGAGTAGGCCGAGTTGTTCCCTGTAAAAAAAAAAAAAAAATGTACAATTAATATTTAGAAATCGTAGATTTGCAAAAAATATGATCAGATATATCAAAACTCACAATCATTCCCGCATGAGCGCACATGTAGAAGTCATTGTTCTTCGCATGACAAATTCCACTGTCAATCACAGTCCCTGCACATTAAGAGAATCAGATAAGTTCAATGAAGTAAAAGTGATCATTTTTGGTGAATAATGATAATAAATTACCAGGTGGAACATTGTCTGGAGAATTGGCTTGGAAAAATTTGGTGTGGTGATTCTTTTGGGCTACAACAACTGTGAACTTGGGGAACCATCGAGCATCGAGAAACTTGCAAGCCTGCAAAAATTGAAAGCTCTCAAAATACCAGATGGAAAAGAGATGACTAGCATTAGAAGTTATTGTTATTGGTTTTAAGTCAGAAAGGAATGGACTTGCCTCAAGAATTTGATCCAGCTCAATGTTCAAAACTTGACTGAATTGAGACTCGCTCACTCCGTCCCTACAAATTACAAGCAGAAAGTTTTCAGCGAAAATGTATTGTACTAGGAATGAGATAGATCAAGTAGAAACTAAATGAGAAATGAGGAAAAGGATAAACATTTGTATTCTGTATTAGAACAACACCGTACCTGAAAATAATTATGTGCTCTGGTTTCCTTCCTTCAGAACTATGGTAGAAGTCCATTAACAGCTCCCTGAGAGTCCATATAAATTTCTTTAAGAGACGAATCAAGTATATAATACTTTCCGATATAGAAATCATTTTCAAAATATATATCCTTCTATATTAATTTAAAACTAAATAACTGCACAGAATAGCACAGGAATTTGAAAAGCATAAAATGAATGAGTCCAAACCAACCTGAAAACGCCCCGATCCACTGTCTCCACTTTCTGATCCTTTGTAACTTCCACCGGCTTAAACAAGGAATCTATCATTTCAAGTTTTGGTGACTGAGTTCGAACAGCAGCCCGATAACGAGAAATCAGAGGCCATTGTCTTGAACTAACCACCTTGTGATTCCATTGTACAAAAGAAAATATATCAGATATATAATATGGTGCTACAAAATCGTATATATGAGAGAAAGAATTAAGATATTTAGGAAATGACTGAGAAACATGGTGAAGTATAAAACACCGCAGCAATTGAAGGAAGATCGGAACGAGTAGTCGATCCATGGGATACATCCATTCCAACAATAAGAGTTGGAACTTCCGAAATCGTGGGTATGGAGTGAGAATTCTCAATAGCTAACAGGGAATTAATACCACCCAACTGGAAGGAAAATATTAAAGAGAAGAAAAGATGAGTATGGATAAGTACAAAACAAATATCAAACTTATTAACTAGTCTAGATTGGATTACGCAACTTGCCTTGGCATTTATCTTCAAGAGCACATTAGTAAGGTACTGATCATTCACCCTCTGAGGTGCAATGCACTGAGTAACTACCCCTAGATCGGAAAGATTCCGCTTCTTCCATGGCCCTTCAATAAGATTAAAAAAAAAATATCATGATTGTGCATAAGTGGGAGTAACGGAGATTAGAGAAATAAGCAAAGATCACGTCTCAACCATAGAGTTTAGAGCTTTTCCTCTCTGGGAGAAGGCAGAGGAGAAACTGAGGTGCTGCTGGAAGATTTGACTGTATCTCTTCAATCATCTTCTCCACCCTAAAAGAAGGCGGTCTATTTGAAAGCTCGCGACGCTCTTGAAACACTTTAAAAGGTTCCCTAATCATCTACACGAAAGAGATAAATGAATAATAGATAACATCAATAACAAATCTGAAAATTTTTTGGAGTTTCAGATTCAAATTAACAGAAGATGGAAACACTGACAATTCCTTTCATTTGACCACATCTGATTAGACTATGAGACAAATTTTGCAAATCACAGCGAGCATTAAAGTTTACAATACACCAGCGTTCAATGTTCTTCGGATCAACAAATGTCTGCGCAGACATAGCTTGTGTCAATACTAGCAATAACATGATTTCAATATAGCAATGAAAAAGAAAAAATGAAGTGTCCAAAGAAGTATACCTTGTTGTTAAAGTTCCACCTTCCATTGCGAGGGATGAAGTTCTCCTTTTTGCCCACTGTCAACTGCAAGAAAATAAGAAAGGATAGGAAAAAAAATTCCTCAACTTGGTTAAAACAAAACATGTATGACTAATTAAATGCTAGCCATCTTAATTTAGAAAATTGTTACCTTGGGAGGTGCCAAGACACGACCTTGAACTGAGGTGAACTCTCTATTAATAGAAATTCCAGAAGACGAAAGAAGAGGTCAGCATTGTAATTGCTAGTACCAAGTGCCTACACTCAAAGCTTGGCAATCATTAGAATCTACAACGCGAAAATAAAAGAGAGCAAGACTTAGAAAATCTTTGAAACTTACTTGAGACAAAGCTGTCTTCCGTTCTAGTGGCTTCTGACGGGATTTTTCAACAAGGGAAGCTTTTTGCTGACTGGAGAGAGCTCTCGTATATCGTTGTAAGGAAACCAAATCGCAGAGCTAGAAAGGAATAAGTAAACAAATTACCACAGTGAACTCAAGATGAGAGAGATTAAGCTTCAGTTCAAGAAGAGTACCTCAATCGGAATGTAAGTGTACAAGGTATTTATATGTTCTAATCCGATTTTCTCTGCCTATTGTCGGTTCAATACCCAATTTTACAAACACTATTTTAATTTGTTGCAATCAAGTTACTTGTATTCAATTTTATTACATAGATCACTTTTTCCAGATTCATTGCTAAAATTAAAGTCGGAATCTTTTGTGTTTATAATTAAGGTCTCAAGGTTGGAAGGTGATCGTAACACTTGTCATATTGTACGTACGTACTGATATTTGATTATCATTTTGATCTTTGTTGACCGTACTACTTTATTACCATCTCAAGTTTAGAATACAATCTCCACATGCACCGCAACGGTAGAAGATAAGTCAAGATCCATAAATATTGTAATAAATAACATGGGCAATGCTAACGAACGTGACCCTGTTCGTCCAGGGCAATGAAATGGCAATAGGAGGGGGCACTTGTGGGCCAGGCATCCCTAGCCCCCGTTTGGACAAGGCCAACAGAATTACGCTAAATAACATAGCCATTTGAAATTTTATCTATTGCTCTAATAAATTTAGCGCGGCAAATAGGCAAATTTTGAAGTTTAAAATTTTTCATTGTTAATGCTAACTTGTACAATGCATGTTACCTTCTATTTGCTCAATTGGCGACATTTATTGCAATTAAATTGTGATAAAATAATAAAACTAAAATTTTATTTGTATTCAGTTTTGTTGCACAATAAGTGACCTCGTCTAGGTTCATTGCTAAAATTAAATTCAAATCTCATGCCTTTGTTATCACCATCTTAAGTTTAGAATTCAATCACCGCATGTGTCACAATAATAGAAGACAATTCAAGATTCATATATATTGTATTAAAGACCATAATCGTCTGAAAATATTTATTTATTGGTCTATTAAATTTTGCGCATCAAATATATATTCTTATTTTATTTTAATGAAAATTTTGGCGAAACTTTTAAAAAATTTAATCTTTCATTGTTATTTCTATATTGTACAATGTATGTTACCTTTTATTTGCTCAATTGAGGCATTTATTGTAATTAAAATGTGGCAAACTATTAAAAGAAGAAGAAGAAAAGTGTGGTATCAATATAACTATACTAAAATCTCGATCATGTCACTAAACTTTAATTTGTTATAGTGAAATTATTTGTATTCAATTTTGATGCACAATAAATGATTTCATCTTGATTCATTGCTAAAATTAAAGTCAAATTTCATCATCTCATGCCTTTGTTATACTCTATTAAGTTTAAAATGTGATAACCACAAGCATTGCAACAATGGAAGATAAGTCAAGATCCATAAATATTGTGTTAAAGAATATTATCGTTGGAAATATTTATCCATTCCTCTATTAAATTTAGCACGTCAAATATGTATTCTTATAATATTTTAATGCAAATTTTGGCAAAACTTTGAAGTTTATGATCTTTCATTGTCAATACTAAGTTGCATGAAATACATTACGTACTATTTGCTCAATTGATGACCTTCACTGCAATTAAAATGTGACAAAATAAAAAATAAAAAATTGGTATCAATATAACCATCTATACTAAAATCTCGACTAGGTCATAATCCTTAATAGATTGTAGTGAAATTATTGCACGATAAGTGAATTCATCTAGTTTCGTTGCACAAATTAAAGTTATATTTTATGCTGTTGTTATTAGCATCTTAAGTTTTGAAGGCAGTCACGTGTCGTGTTGTTTGTACTCCTAGCGAGTTTTCATTACATCATACTCTCCATTCTTCACATTCAACCTCTCGAGTTTAAAAGGCTATCATCACACGCATTGCAGCAGTGGAAGATAATTAAGTTAAGATTCATAAATATTGTTATGAAAATTAACTATATTTGAAACTTATGTGTTCTCTAAATTCTATTTTTAATGCAAATATGGTAAAACTCTGATGCTTTGACTATATATGAATTTTACTTATTTGAAATTTACGTGTTTACTGTATTTCGTCCACCTCGATGCAAAAAGAGACAGAATTTAATTGATTTTCTATCTTAATTCTAGAGCAAATTAATTAATTATACTAGTTTTTTTTTTTTTTCAGTTACTTGACTACTAGATTTATGCTCCCTATTTTATTTAAACATTGCAGAAACCATCTCTAGAGATTAATAATAATAATAATAATAATAATAATAATAATAATAATAATAATAATAATAATAATAATAATAATAATAATAATAATAATTGTCTCTCATCTCACCCTTTGATTCCATCTTTTTTGTATTTTCATAGTATGACAAGACAATTTTATTATTTTTAAACTATACAGACATTACAAATACTTGTTTGGTCACTTTTAAAATACTTATAGGTTGTGAATTCTACCAAATGTGTAAATAATAACTGTGTAATAAATTATGGGTCGTAAATTGTACGGATGAACAGTATATTTGACCTACTAAAAATTAAGCTTTGCCAAACATGCACACGCTTCAACTCCATATTTTTTTATTTTTTTATATGTTATGAAAAGAGTATAGTAATTTTCTAAATAAAAAAGGTCAACAAATTGAGCTATAAAAAATAGCAAAAAATAATTTCATTGTTAACTTTTGCATGTAAGGCCCTTTATTGGATTGCCTATGGAGCCACATTTTTAATTTTTTAATAGGCAAAATTACATAATTTTAGATTTAGCAAACTTAAAAAAAGCAAATTATGGAAGAACCTTAGCATTTGATTATTTAAAAAAAATAACAAAAATGGAAGCTTCTTAGAGCATCTTCAATACGCTGGTTGTAAATCGCTTAAATTTTTGTTATATAAGTAAAATAAACAATGTTTCGCTGAAATGATGCAGCAAACAAAAAAAAAAATAGTCAATGTTTAGATTTAGAGGCTATATTAGCATGTTGACTTGACAGTTTAATTGATTATATTTTTATTTTTAGAGTATTGAATTTTTTTTCTCTTCCACTTTGTTTAAATTTTTTAACATTAATAAAAGAAACTTGTGCGAATATATTGTAACATAGATGGAATCTATTGAAAACTAGTTTTAGACTTCATCATTTATTCATTAGATATCAATGCTACTTTTACGTAATGAAATAATGGTCCACCTAGACGACCACGTCAACCTTGACAAGGGGTTATCGCATGCCAACATATCATGGGATGAATGATTTTGCCTTGGTCATCGAGGCCTATCATATCAAAAGGATGCCTCAATCGTCGAGATTTCATGAAGTAAAAGAAGTATATGAAACCTTAACACTTGGACAAAAATATTTTAATTGGTATTTTTCTAATGTAAAACTGACCACTTCATTTAAATTATAAGTATATATCTGCATAGACAAAAGGAAAAAAGAAATATTATAATTTAAATATAATGTAATAATAATTTCAGATAATATAAAATATAGGGGTAAAATTGAAAGTACCGATTTATTTTTGTTGTTAGGGTGAATATATCATGAAAAATAAACTTTATGGAAGGTTTTTTGTTATTTTTTTAAATGGAGGTGGTGTATCCAGTAATTTCAGAGTGTCTTTCCATGATAAATAAATATATAGAAGAGCTAAATTAATAATTTCCCACAAACATTACTACCAAATTTATAACGACATTCCAGATGTTTGTAAGAGTTTCTTCACGTCAAATTTGTCTGTCTAATGTCAACATGTTACATGTCATTGTAAGGATCATATTTCATGATAAATGTGCATTAGCTATCCTATAAATCCATTGCATAAAGGGATTTATGTTTGATGCAAACACGTCATTGTAAGGATAATAAGGTGGCTTCGGATGTAAGATCAAATTTCATCATAAATGAGATTTAGCTGTCCTAAAAAATTGATTACAAAAAGGGATTGGAAACTCTATTGAAGGCTCCTTCAATGTTATACGTACTTGAGAAAGATTTTTTTATCTTTCTGTCAATACTTCAAAGAATAATGCTATCTAGCATTATTGGTATTTGACGCTAATCTGTATAGCATTATATGACATGTTCAGTTAAAGGTGAAATTATGTTATTCATTTAATTGTACATTTCATTTAATAACATTTAATGTCACCTCAACTGGCCAATAATTTTAAATAGCATTACTCTATTTTCAAATACCTCTCAAGTATCTTCTACTCTTGGAGGGTGGAGGGGGGGGGGATAGAGTGTCTCGTTACAACTGGTTTTATTGTGTATGGGAATATGAATATATCTAGATTAAGATGTCAAATTAGTTGGCTATCTATAGGATGTAAACAAGTTGAACCAAGTTAATTCACGAGTCGTGGCTCATGGTTCAGACGTGACTCTGGTAAAAAATGACCTCAACTCGGGCTTATTGAGTTAAGCAAGCTCGATTTTGTTTTTGTTTTTTTGAAAAATTCGTTATTTTTTAAAATTTGTTAAGCAATATGAAATTGCAGCTACAACTACATGTTTTAATGGTAGCTGTAGCTCCTTGTATTAAAGATAAGGGCCACCTAAGTCGACGAGTCAAATTGATATCCCTAATTATCTATTACTTGTTTTACAACTCAAATTAATTAACCTTAGGTATTAAAATTTGTTCTTTCCTCGACTCTAATAAAATTTAAATTAGAGTATTTAAATGTGTTCCTCTCCCCGACTCTAATAAAATTTTAGGGAAGAGCTTTGACGCCAGTTTGGTTAATGTTTTCGTCAAAAAGGCCTGTTAAGCGAGCTTAAATCAACTTATCAATCCATCATATGTTTAGAAATTAATAGATGCAAAAGAACGACAAAATATTTTTGCCTTTTCTTAAATCTTACAAACAAAATATTTTAATAGAAACTATCGTCAACAATTATATGTTAATTAAAAAAACAAGGATAAAATTCAAGGAAAATAATTATGCATGTAACTTTTATGTTGAGCAAAGTTA